TTCTTTTTTCTCCCCAAAGCCCCAGTTCATAGTTGTGTATCATAGTTGTAGAGTTGTAGCTCTTCTATGTGGGACGCCACCTCAACATGGCTTGATGAATGGTGAGTATGTCCACGCCCAGGATCCAAACCGGTGAACCCCAGGCCGCTGAAGTGGAACACGCGAACTTAACCACTGCGAAATGGCTGCCATTTTTTAATTCCTGTAGTATATTAGTCACTACGTTAATCTCTGACATTCAGTACGTCCAATACTAAATTGGACACAATTAGTATTGTCACAACCACCTTGCAAGGTGGATCTTACCATTCCAATTTTATGGGTAAGGTCCAGTGGAGTTAAAGTGACTTCTCTAAGGTCAATTATTCAATTAAGTGGCAGAGCAGAAATTCAACCCAGGTCCACCTAACACAAAGCCCAAGCTCTGCACTTTGCTACATCTGCATTTAACTTTGTCAAAACAGTTGACCCATTGGAAGCTTGAACCCGCAGCAGCCTCAATATGACATGGGACCATCAAAGACTTGACTGCAAAGATTGTGATTCAGTCAAGCACGTTCACATGCCCATTTCATGCTGCCCTCATAACTACGTGGGAAGTAGGTATTATCATCTCCATTTTATAGAGGAGGAAACTGGAACACAGGACACATGCGACTTGTCTATGACACTTAAGTGACAGAGCTGGGAGTAAAACTTGACATTTAACTATGTTAAATTCTGATTCGTATTCCTTAGGGCCACAACCATTGAATAGAAAGGGCCATTCTGCTTCACTTGCTAGGTAACAGTGTTTAAGAATTTCACAATTCTTACTGGGGGTGATTTTATGATAACTAATGAGACAATGGCCATCAAATGAACCAGGGAACAAAATTTCAAGGTCTTAAAGGTTTACGCAAAAGCAATGGCCTTTTTCAGTAAAGGCTGTATTAAATAAAATCCACATAAATATCTGTTAAATAAAAAATACCTTCTAAAGAAGCCATGTTGCTTTCTTTCCGTGACATAGAATTATGAAAAATATTGTTCTTTAATGGAGAAAATTAGAGTTTAAGAAAAGCAACACAGTTCTGCCAATGACAGAAAAATTATGGTGTGCTATAGGTAGGTCACCAAGCAAACTTACCACTCAGCTTCTTCTGAGCAACTTCCAGAAATTCACTATTATCACAGTGCATACATAACTATGAGAAGTCTGGAAGATATAATCGACATTAAGTGAACCTTCTCATTTTTAGTACTCTGACTTGTTTTCCTTATTGCTTTTATTATCTTAAACTGAAAGATTATCATCATTCTAAGCAGCTACTTTATCTATTCTCCTGATTGGGAAAAGAATTACATTTAACTCATTACAGACCATGAGACAGCTTCTTGTGAAAGAAAGCGAAGAGAGAAGAGCACGGATGAGAATGCCTGTTATTTCTCTATCTCCCTTAGTTATGTGTCAGTATCTGACAGCGCCTCCAAAATTGTTTTTCCAAGAAGCCTACCCACCCCCCACCACACACACAGTACCAAATTGAAAATGAAAAAGGAGCATCTAAATACTGCCGTCCATGTGGCTTTGTAGAATAGAAGACTGAGTGACTGAGTAAATCCCATACATTGATTCAGGGCCACTGCTAGTTCAAATTTGTATGTAAGGGCAATTCCCATCTAAGACTTGCCATCTTCAATTTAAACATTATCTCTCCTTTTTTTGTGCTTAGTACTTATGTAACATGCTCTGGCTGCCCAGGCACCCCTAATTCAGTAACCCACATAAAATCTCCTTCTGTAGGCAAAAATCCATGCTCTGGAATTTTTTTTGTTCCCTCTTATCAAAAATTACTTACACTGGATCTTCTTCTCTTGAGTTTGTCTGTCTTCCCCAACTGGAATGAAAGGTCTATAGGAGCCTTTGTCTGCTTTCTTCACAGGTGGATCCCAAGCATCTAGAATAGAGTCTAGCACAGTGGAATGAAAGAACTAACCCACCTATGTCATTATGTCAATAGTTACTAAAGGTTTAAGTCAGAGCTTGCAGAGCCAGATATGGCCAACAGGAATGTTCTCTTTGTCCTACAGAGCGTTTGAAACATCTTTCAAGTTGAGAACATTCATTTAAAAATCCTAGCTTCTGTTAAAAAAGTGGAAGATCTGGTAACAATGGCAAGTGCCTTCCCTCTCTTAGAGCATGGCTTCCCCATTTCCCTACCACTCCCTGTTGGCTTCCCTACACTGAGACCGTATCAGTTCCAATATTGAGAAGCTGGGGATAGAATGTGAGAATATTAGGATTCTTACACTTGGCCTATAATTACCATATTTGTTGGTGATACTAAAATTTGAGTTTGTGACTCCAATCTTTAAACATTTTTTCTCCAGTAATGTATTTGTGTTTTACTTAGAACATTTTGAAGACTTATAATGTATAATGACGTGGTTGGAAATTTCACACATCGTGGTGGGAAAAAAATATTTTAGGCTAGTAGAGCTTCCAGGTCAAACTATGGAGATAGCTGCCTTTTCTATCTGTACATAGGCCCTTTGCTTAGGAAAAACTGAGATCTCTAGATTCTTCTCATTTTCCCAAAGGCTCTCTTCCCCCAAACCCTCAGAGGTTCTGCAGTATGCATTGCCTCTTAATAATATCTCTTTTTACATTCGGACATTGTTTTATCCCCAAATAACCATATTCATAGAGCTATTGCAAAATCTTGTCTAGTGCTTAATTCAATCTGGATAGGGTGTTTCTTGTCGCTATATTTATATGCAATGGCAGCTTGACCACAGTCTACTTAGCACAGTGTGGAAGTAGCCAGTTGGAAACCATCTGGTGACGGAGAACAGCAAAGGTGCTCCAGGAAGACCACTCAGGCTTCAAAGGAATTTTTCCTCCTGTTTGGCCATGCACATAATTAAGAGTCACTGGATGAGAACAAACCACTAGTTTGTTTTACATTTGGGGGAACTTGGTAACCTGTGAGAGACATACGTCACTTCTCTGTATCTGATTGGCTAAGAACCAGACTGATTCATGGAAATTCCTGCTGGGAGGATGGAAGGAAGTCATACCACAAATGATGGCCATTAACTATGACTTAACTCTACCTAAAATGATGTTGTTATCAAAGCCAAATCATTTTAATATAAAATAAATTCATTTTAGTTGAGATTTACTAGACTTAGAGATAATAGTATACAACTTTAGCCTGATATTCTTCTTTAGCCTATGTTCATAGTCTAAATATAAAGTTTCATATTTAGGAAACCTAGCGTGTCTCTTTTTAAGCAACCTTTACCCAATATATACATTTTTAAGCTAACGTAATTGATTTAATATGTAGGCACTCTTCCCGTGTTTAAGGCACAGGAGAAAACAAGCTAGATGAGGTTGCTGCTCTCCTGGAGCTTATGTTCAATTGTTATATAGTAAATGAATAAACGAATAGTCTGTCAGGTAGATAGAGGCTATGGGGAGAAAAGTAATGTAAGGAGGTGGGGGCAGGCGGTGTGTGGCAAGGGGTGGTCTTTTGTTTAGTGAAGTCAGAGAAGGTGATGTTTGAGCTGAGACCTGAATGGAAGGGAGCTCGTCTTGCAGAGACTGTAGGCAAGGTGTCCCAGGGAGGAGGAATGGCATGTGTGAAGATCCCCAGTGCCCATGCTTAGCGTGCTCAAGCATCAGCAAGCTGGCCGCTGAAGCTGGAAAGGAATGAGCACAGGAAAGAAGAGGTGATATTCCAGAGGAGCCAGGGAGCAAACTTGCAAGGCCTTCTGGGACATCGTGAAGACTTTAGAGGTTATGTCAAGGGTGAGGGCAAACGGTTGGAAGGTTTTGAGCAGAGGAGTCACTTGATAAAATGTATGTTTTAAAATCAGTGATGAAGTTGATGATGAGCTACCAATAATACCTGTCATGTCACTTATTGATCGTATATTATGTGCTAAGCACTTTACCTGTATTATCTTATTTAATCCTTATAACAGCTGTATGATTGTAGTCACTGTGGCTATTCTCATAGAACAGATAGGATAATAACTATGTGGTTGGTCGTTAAGTAACTCGCCCACAGTCACACAGGTAGTTCATGGCAGAGCTAAGCTTAATAAAATGGTGATGTTTTAAAATCCTTTAATACCTTCCATGGTGTATCACAACGTAGGCCCTAAATAGGATTAATTTTTTTCCATTCATTGTTTTCCATCATTGTAGCCTTAAATGAACGGAGTCTTAAGGCTCCTATAGATTGTTATGACTTGCCTACTTTTCTAGACATTTTTAAAGCGTAAGCGTAGTATTATCATACATAACGTATCTTCTAATTAGAAGAGTATGTAAAAGAGCCACCCCCAAATAAAACCTCCTAATTAAATAGTCCTTACAGGGCTGAGTTCTTAATCTGTAGATTCAGAATTGTTTCTCAGTATCATTAATGTCCGTAGTAGTCTTAGGTATTTTTTTCAATGCGTTTAAAAATATTATTCTGAGAAAGAGACTATAGGTTCTCCAGACTGCCCAAGAGGCAGGTGGGTGTGGAGACAGTGTGTGCAGGGATTCCCATGAATTTGTTTGGATCTGAGTGGAACTGCTACAAGTCGTACTGGGTCTGTTATGTTTTGGGGGCAGGGGGAAAGTGCTTAGCACGTGCCAAGGCCTACATAGAGGCCGGCTATAGCCGGGGTGACCACATGTACCGATCTGGCCAGGACTGTTCCAGTTTATGCCTTTGTCCAGGTGAAATTATTAATATCACTTCCTTTCAATCTCAAAAGTGTCCTGGTGAGAACAATAAATTATATGGCCACCATGAGCTCTAGCTGTTATCAAGAAAGCAGTGGTGGTAGATGTAGTGAATTGAGTCCTATCTCCAGGACATGTGGTTGTAGGTACTACCAACCCCTGAATTCAGACTTATTTTGATAATGAATGGGTGTAATCAAAGTTAGGAGATTACGCAAAGGATATGATGGAAGAAAATACTGTCTTCATTCTAATTATTTCTCTTTTGCAGCCAAAAAAGAGCATAAAATGGAAGAAAGTCACTTGGAGAATGCACAGAAAAGGTACGCAGCTTTGACTTGGCCCCAATTCTTTTGACTAGCCATTCTTTTTTTATTATTATTAAGTACATTCACATTGCAGTGTAATCATCACCACCATCCATCTCGAGAACTTTTTCATCTTCTTCAAATGAAACTCTGTACCTCTTAAACCATAACTCCTCCATTCACCCTTTCCCCCATCTCCTGGCAACCACCATTCTACTTTCTGTTTCTATGACTGTGACCACTCTAGGTACCTCATGTAAGTGGAATCATACAGTATTTTCCCTTTTATGACTGGCTTATTTCACTTAGCATAATGTCTGACTAGCCATTCTTTTGGCCCTATTTGTTAAGACTATGCATCCATAAGCAATAAGATTCTATGGAGAGCTGGAGTGAAAGCATTGTAACAGGAGTGCGGAATATTTTTCCTCAAGAAGCAAAGAATCATCCAGAAGTGACTCAACATGTTTCACACACATCATGACACTATTTCCATCTGTTTGCCTCCCCTCCATTACTCTACTCCTGAACCGCTTCATGGAAGTTAGAACAACGTGATCCTTCTTAGTATTACAACTAGATTAAACCAATTATTACAAACAGCTCAGAGACTTATTATGTCTTTCCTCAGATCCTAGGGAATATTGTAAACAAGGGACAATTGAGGAGAAGGGACTGACCTCTATAGATGGAAAATTCCCCCAGAAGTTGGAAGAGACCTCAGAGGTCTTCTAATCAACCTCTCACGCACTTTAGGCCTCTTCTTTGTTCTTCTCTCTCTTAATAGAGACCAGAATGAAACCAACCATCTCACCTGATAGAGCCCAATAATCATTTGCTGTGATCCCTTATAGGGGTTTTTCTTTTGTCAGTTGACAAGATTCATCAACTTGGCTGTCCCTCCCTCTTGGAAGGGTGAGTGGAAATATACCGAGGCCTTCTCATATTCAGGGCAGAGAATTGAGATAAATTTGCTGGTACCAATTCTAAAAGTATTAGAAAATTAAATAAGAGATGAGGGCAGGAAACAGCATATAAGGGAAAATGAGCTTTACAAATGTGTAAAGAGAGGAGTTTATTAAATGCCAATGAGCAAACTCTAGAAATGAACCATTTTCCTCCCATCTGGCCACAATTTCCGAGAGTTCTGCAAGCCTGTAGACAGTACTATCTTGCCCTGCTTCCCATTGTAATTGCCAATAAAGTTAAAATGCAGATGAAAGCAAGGTTAAGGCAAATCTTGCGTTTTTCTAAGTGCAGACATGTTCTTAAATCATGATTATCATCCTAGCAGGATCATCTTTGAAACCAAGACAATCAATTGGTTATGTTCTTAGATTTTTGTGCCTGTTTATAGGCCTTATCCCTATATTAACCTTCCCTTCCTCAGGGTGTAAAATGGGTATGTCTGTGTTATAGAAATATCCAGGACATTCAGAAGAGACCATCAACAAGGACGCATTGGTATCAGCCCAAACAGAAATTTGGTTTCTGGGGTCGACGTCAAATTTCTAATACTTCTTCAAGATTCTGGCTTAAGGAAAAGGAGGCCCACCTCAGAGGGGCCGAAGCTGCTGCTGTGAATTAGCTATGCTGAAGGGGGTCATAAATTTTGGTTGTCAGCATTTTCCGTGACTTTGTGGTGAAGGTAGTCTAGCTTTCATGTCATACATGAAATATGTTAGATCCCATCTTTAATGCAGAAACCACAGTTGTTTGGTTACACTCTTTAAGGAGGTTGGTGGTCAGTGTTGCAATATTCGTGTGAGATTTAGTCAATTCTTATGTTTTATTCTCAAGAGAAACAATTTACTCTGAGGCTAAGGAATATTTGCTTTTCCTAAGCAGTTTCTGAAGGCATGCATGTAAAATAATAAGTGAATGTGTTCTGCTTGGATATCTCAACACTGTAAAAGTAAAACAGTTCATTTTGCTATGGGCTCTTTGATATAATCATTGTCTGCGCTTTAAAAATGTTTAGCTGAATTAAAAAGATACAAATCAAACAAGGAATTATGGAGTCAGGGAATAGCTTAGAGTGAAGTAAAAAAGTTTTATGAAACATAACATATGATTAGAAATCAATCTTTTAAAACTTGAAAGGTATTTTAGAGTTATCTGCTGACAAATAGAAATTTCCAAAAGCATGATTGCCCTTTTGTCTATTGGAGTAAATTCTCCTGGTCATTAAATATCAGCAATCTTCATGCCCAGATTTCAGAAGGTTTTCAATAATCAGTCTTCAATCAAAATTGAATTTGAAAAAAAGAGAGTTTTGTTTGGGGAGGACAATAGTCTAGACCTTATCAGATAGTTGTAGGTTTATATTGCAGCTTTTAACTTTTCCTTGAACAAAGGGATAATAGCAAAATCAAATAAGGCACATCCTCAGAGCAACTTCATCTTTGACAAAGTTGCAGAGTGGCAAAGCCAGGCCATCCTCAGGGACTCTGTTGGCTTTGGTTCTTCTGAAGAGGCTTGCTTGCTTTCTTAGTTTCTAAAACACACAAGGAGAAAAATGCTGAAGTTCGACATTTCGTTTAGTTTTCATCCCTTTGAGGGTTAGCAAGCAGGGCCTCACAAATCCCCAGAGGGAGAGGTGGTAAGGGTACATGGTTAGCTTCAATTTAGACTTGGGTAAAGTGAGGGCCCCGGGATGATGACATGCTTTTCTCAAGCTCTGTGATAACCCACAAACAATGCTGTCATTCTCTAAAACTGCAGAAGTATTTGCAATATCTTGGTCTTACAATCTAGGCTCCATATAACACCAGAGGTGCTGGGGTGATCCATGAGGCACAGTGACTGGAGTTTCTGTGCTCTTCACTATATCCTGCTGGAAAATCGCGAAGATAATTTGTTTCTCTGAATGTTAAAAGTGTAAGGCTTTCTCTTCTCTATTAATGCACAAATAAATATGTCTCTGTATAGAAGGTGAGCATAAGCAAGAGAAAAAAATAATGTGCTCTGCTGGGGGTAATGCACATTATGTATAATGTAGGGGATAACTGTGTCTAAAGTGGAGACAGAAAAAAATGACTGTTTTCTTAAATGCCTGTGTCAGCGAGCATCAGCCACAGAAAGGTAGAATGGAAAAAGCATTTCACTGAGAATCAGGGGACCCAAGTTGTAGGCCCAGCTCTGCCAACGAATAAAGACATTCAGTCTTTCCAGGTCTCTGTTTTCTCATCTGTAAAATGAGAACATTGGATGAGTGGCCCTGTAAGTCTCTTCCAATTCTAAAGCCCATGACTCTATAAGAAATTCATGGCCTGTTCTTATAGGTTAGATAACTCTTGACTTAGGTATTTCCATGCTACGATCAATATACTTTTCATTTTGAATGAAATAAAAGTGTATGCCATAGAGTGTACATTTGGTTTTATCAGTATTTTGACGGCCACAGAATTAGGAGTTGTGTCTGGGGTAAAAGTGGACATTGCTCCATTCTTGTGTTACTGGCTTTGCTCCAAAATATGTATGTTTGGAATTACAAGAGAGTCCCTTAAGAAATTACTGCAGTTATTGCCTTTCTCCACTTATGCACTTCCAGTCTTTTAATAACTGGGAGCCAAAATTCCCTGACCAGTAGTTTTAATTTGCGTTAAAAACAGATTTATTATTTACAGAAGCACAAAGAATTTATGGGACTCAAAGCTGCAGCTCCAGCTTGGATCTCGCCTAATCATAGCCATGGAATCAATTAACAGTTCATCTGTGAAATGTGATAAAATCTTATGAGATACATATTGCCCAATAACTGAGAAGGAGATGAAAGTATGCTCCATAATGGTAACGGGGCTTCGGGGTTTTACAATCGCCATTGAATAGAGTTCCATTAGAAATTCAGTATTCAGGATGGCCACAAAAAAACGCTGTGTCTGAACAGATGATAGAGCATTGAGTAATAAACCTGGCCAGCCATTCCTGCTTTGATTAGTTTCCAACACCCTAGAAAAGGGGGCCATTTATTTAAGTGTTCTTGCTCATGGCAAATGAGTATGTGAGGCTTGGGGGTAGGTAGGGGTGGGTGGAGGGAAAGATTGAGTGCAGAGCTATAAATTGCTGCAAAGCTAGTGCCTCCAAGAAGGGCTGCTTGGGAGGCCAGGGGAGGCTGGTGTGCAGTGAGCCTCCATGGGGTAGGTCAGGAGGTTCTTAGTGATGTCTGGGAACCTACTTTGGAAAACCTGGGTTCTTTTCTGACCAGATTGGAGATCACTATTTAAGACCAAAGATGGTTTTTCATCCAAACCTTGCTATGCCTTCAATTATGTCTCTTTTTGTACATGGGTGGTTTGTATTCTTGTATCATGTCAAGCTTTAAAATGTACTGTTCTTAAAGATCATACAGTCTAAGTCTCTTATTTTACCCTTGAGAAAATTGAGTCTAATGCTGAGTGATTGACCCAAGATTACAAAGCTAATGGATCCCGGAAAGAGGATAGAACAGTCTCTTGATTTTCCATGAAACACTCAAGAGATTAATTATTCCCCATGGGCTATCTAACTGACTTCTGCTAATGCTACAGAATCAATATGTCATCAGTGTTACATGTAGTCCTTAGACTTAAAATGAAGACCAAGTAAATGACATGGATTTGAGATGAAGAACAAACTCAAAAAGTTTTACCTACATATTGCCCTGGGATTATACATGCTGGTTTTTATACAGATAAGATATGCCCTGGAGTATCCCCAGTGAAGTTGAATTTCTTGGAAAATTGGCTTGAACAAATAGATTTTCTAAGGCTTAGTTATCCTAAGTAACTAACTAAGCCACGGTAACTATGAGCCTGGGCTCCTGTGTTGGAGAACCGACATGGGGGAACCACCCCAGCATGCCCTCTCTTCACCCTAATGGGTGTTGGTGTTGACAGTTTCTCACCCTCTCCCTCACTCTGTTTTTTCTCCTACCTGTTGCAGTTTTGAAACAACAGTAGGATATTTTGGGATGAAGCCAAAGTCTGGTGAGAAGGAGATCACACCCAACTACGTGTTTATGGTGTGGTACGAGTTCTGCAGTGACTTCAAGACGATTTGGAAACGGGAGAGTAAAAACATATCTAAAGAGAGGTAAGGTTCTATAGAGTCGTTAATACCCCTTCAGGAGTCTAGGAAACTGCCTTCTGAAACCTAACCAAGTGTGCACATTTCACACGTGTCAGTGTTGTCTTTCAGATCAAGTCTACGTGGAAGAAGGATTATGGCCTCAGGGTTCATAGGGAAATTCGGGGGAGGCTTGCTGTCCACACAAGCTGATACTCTCACGTGATCTGATAAGTTACACTTTCTTAACCCCTTCCAATTACTAGCTAGTGAATGAAAGGGGAGCTGTGCTAATTTGCAACAGATTGCTTCTCTGTGTATTTTCACGTTAGCCCATGCTAAATGAGGCAGCCTCGCTGTCGCAGACAGTACAGACAAATAAAAGTGAATGCTTTTCCCATTAATATACTGAACTTGCATCAAAGGGAAATCTCTGCGACTCAGGCCACACTTAACACCGTGTTGAAGCCCCGCTCTGGATTTACAGCGCCACTTCTGACTCCCCGTATCCTGCTGAGGACATCAAACTGCGTGCCGCTCAGCCTCATTGCAGCCTCCTGATTTTATTAGTTGGGGGTAGAAGGAAAACCTCAGCTCTGAATATAGGGAGAGAGAGCGTGTGCATGTGTGTGTTCGTTCTCCTTAGAAAGAGACTGAATTTGGCCCTGTTTATCAGAAAAAAAGCATTTCTGTTGATCACTGTTTTGATCAGGTTGCCACTGTTCTACAAAGGGTGTCATGGATTTAAACTTCAAACAAATCTTGCTAGTACTCCTGCAGAACAGATGTATGAGAGTGTCATTCAAAGTGGAGTAGAAGGAGACCCAAAAATTCTCCAAATTAAGGGTAACGATCTATTTGATTATAGCATCTATATCTCACCAAACATTGAGACCTGAAATTCCACAATTCAGTATTCTTGTTCTTTGTAGCCAGAAAAAAGGTGTCTACATAAGATATTTAGACACACATACATACACTATACACTAATATGTTTCACCTTAAATAGCTATTTTTAAAGGGATCAAAATTTAGAGATTTTTGACCCAGTATTACTGAGTCTCTGAATATTTTCTCAGGGAATTTTTTCAAAAGACTTCTTGCTTTCTGAGGAAGTCAAAGAGCTTTAAAAATATTTATCAACACATCTCTCTACCATTACTTCTTTGGGAACATGGAATTAAACTGAGTATATCCGTTATGTAGATAAACTGAAGCAGAGAAAAGTTAAGTGACATTGTTAAGAAAATAGATTGTTAATAATAACATGAGAAAAAAGTCCTAAAAATCTTGACACTAGCACTCATTGCTCTTGTCCTGCAATGGCTTATGTAACCCTTTAAGCTAAAATAAGCTTCTGTGGGATAAGTTCTGTGTTCTGAGAGCCTCCTAGGGAAGTGATAGAGCCAAGCGCCCCTCTCTCTAACATAGTAGCAGCTGGCCGGTCAGCTCTCCACATCCCACCTGAAGACCAGGAGATCCAGCAGTGGGCCCTGAATATACAGCCTTTGCTTAAGATTTTGCAGGTCAGATTTTGAGCATAGTCCTTAGTGAATTTGTCCTTGTAGTTGGAGCCCTAAAAAATAGTCCAAAAAAAAACTAACAGAAAGAATAATTAATTGCTTTTCATTTTAAGAATCTTCTGTTGAAATACTGAACTGTATTCCAAAATCAGGAGTTTTTCCCTATCACAGAAGTTAGACCGAACTAACTGTGTGTCCGCAGTGGTGGTGGTTTCCAACCGCCCTTCAGAATGATATTTTCTCTGATTCCGAGCCATAGGCATTTGCTGCACTGCTTCCTGGGTGCAGCTGGTGAATTGCCCACTTCACACTCTGTAAACCAACACCTTTAAAGGGTCATGACTTCACAGGACCCTTTTCAGTTCTTCTCATTTAGCAATTTCAGGGGTCTCTTCATTCTAGCCATGCTTTGCGAGATGGATCACCAAGCTTCCCAACCTGAAACAACATCTCTGAAAGTTAATGATGGCTCATAAAATATTTTTGGAAGCAGCTTGTTTACAAAAATCTATTTGTTAAGAAATGTTAGCACATTATGTATATTATTGCTCATCCAGTTAAACAAACTGGTTAATATCCACGGTTTTCTTGTGAAATGAGGATTTTTTAAATTGTCCTCTATCTCCTAGAGATTTTAGCTTTTAAACTGTTGGAATCACATGTTCATTGTGGTAAAATGAGCAAATTAACTTGAATTCTTCTATTATAATTAAAAGAGAAAAATATGATTGCTTTATTTTGACACCTATTTAATGAGGTTTGTTATTGTCATTTTTTACTATACTGTTCTTGGAAATGCAATAAATCCCTTCAACAGTAAATGGCAGGAGGTTACATACATAGTACGAAGACATCCTCAAAAATAAAATTTGTGGGGCTGGCCCGGTGGTGCAGCGGTTAGGTGTGCGCTCTCCGCTTCAGCTGCCTGGGTTCACAGGTTCGGACCCCAGACGCACAGTGACACACCACTTGTCAGGCCATGCTGTTGTGGCATCCCATATAAAGTAGAGGAAGATGGGCATGGATGTTAGACCAGGGCCAATCTTCCTCAGCAAAGAGGAAGAGTGGCATCAGATGTTAGCTCAGCTCATCAGATGTTAGCTGTCTTCCTCACAAAAATAAATAAATAAATAATAAAATAAAATAAAATTCATAACCAAATGAAAACCTGATAGCTTGTAATTATTAGGAAAAAAAGCCTATAGTTGGGGATCCCATTTTTGAATGCCAACCAAAATGCCAAAACTCATTGGGAAAAAGTAAGGATCAATAATAAGATTTTCAAAGGGACAAATTCACTTCCAAATGAAGTGGAAGTGTTGAAAACTACTTCAGGCCATGTGAGGTCAGTTTTAGGTGGTAGAGAATATTTACTTCTTGTTCCGCTCAGTGTGGTTTCCATGAATACGCATTAGCTTGATGCAAACTTGAGGTGACACAGCCCCATAGCTGGGTGACAACTGCCCCTCATGAAACCCAGAACAATCTCTAAACACACAAATGACTGTATAAAACCGTCCAATGTTCTTATGCCTTTTGAGTGATCAACAAAGCCTATCATTATCTGCAGATTAACTATATCAGTAGAAGAGCAAGCTACTATATGACGGTATATTAATGGCATTCAACTTTCCTGTCATTTAAACCAATATTAGGCAAAATAGCAAACTTCTGTGTCCAGGCACAAATCCAGAATGCCCCACTCCCTAGACCTTTAGTCTGTGACCCACCCAGTCCTTGTGCTGCCCCTAGTCCTGGAAATCATCCTCTAGTGAAATGTGCGAGGCCATTCTCTTACCCCTTCTGAATGCAGGTGATGCTCAGTAGTATAAAAAAGGTCTTTAGATAAAGAGTCAAATCCAGGGCCGGCCCCGTGGCTTAGCGGTTAAGTGCGTGTGCTTCGCTGCTGGTGGCCCGGGTTCGGATTCTGGGCGCACACCGACGCACCGCTTCTCCAGCCATGCTGAGGCCACGTCCCACATACAGCAACTAGCAGGGTGTGCAGCTATGACATGCAGCTATCTACTGGGGCTTTGGGGTAAAAAATAAATAAATAAATAAAATTAAAGAGTCAAATCAAGCATTTTTATACCATTAATTTTCTATGTGATCTTGAGCCAGTCACTTATTGCGTGGCACATCTTTAAAATGTATATATTGGAGTCAAGCAGGAACTAAGTGTTTACTACGATCTCTTCTAGCTTGAAATCTCTATGAATCTAGAAACGACTTTTCTAATATTCTAAAAAACTGTGTATTTTCTTTCTGAGATAACGTGCCTCACCTTTGCTCTTGAGTTCATTAGGGAGGATATTGGAAGACATTTTAAGCCAAGTAGGGGAGAGATTTGGAGACAGGAAGAATTTTCATTGCCCTCTTAGAATTGGTAAGCATCTACAGCTACCTTGCCTCATGCCCCCAGTTCTCCTAAAATACCGATGTTAGTCTTGAAGACCATATTTATTTTTTTTGAGAGTGTACACATAAAAAATATTTTCCTCTGCTCATCTGTATCCAACACTGCATTTAGTGGTTTATTAAAGCTCATCAAGATTTTTACTCTCAGAGGCAGCTTTGCCTTAATTTTAACTTTTCATGCACTTTTGTATTTGTGCGTCTTGATATCCAAACGTTTAATGAATTTTTGTAACACACGTTTTTTCCGCCCATTAAATCCACAGATTATCCAAGCATATGTATAATTGCAAAGAGGTAACAATTTTTGCTGCTACCTTTATTAACTGTTCTTTACTCACTTTCTGCGTTTTCTTTTTTTTCTGTTTAATTACTCTGCGTTATAGGCCCCTTCCTTATGCAATTTTCCACCATTTAGGATATCTTAAGACTACTCCCCCACATGTGCCCACACTTTCACACTTAGAGGCCACAAACCACTACCACCCACAAAATGAGCTATGAATTTGCAAAAGGTAAAGAAATCCCAGAGGATTCGTGACTCCAGGAATAAAGTCTTGGCAAATAATTCACCCGGAGCCAAAGCAAACTTTAAAAGTGCCATTTAAAAAACCCATAATGGGTAAGTAATGAGTGAATAAGGAGTTAGGTGAATTTTATGTGAAATGCAAATAAGAAATTTCATTTTACACATAACTATAATTTACACCATGGGGGAATGGATGGTTACTTTGATTTTTTTAGTTCAGCTAAATACCAACAGGATTTTTGTTTTAAGTACGTTACTTGCAGCTGTTATGGTTAATTATGCAACTGACGTACCCTTGACAGCAGTTAGTTCAGAGCTGTTGTGGGGTTATCCCCAAAGCTGTTCTCAGAGCTCCCTACTGCTCAGGTCACTTTAGGACCAGGGGTTGGGGACTTAGAGAGGCCGTCATTCAACCCACAAAGGAGCCATTGATTGCAATGTAGACATTGCAGAAATTCCTCTCTTTATATAATAAACTTATTCCTGGAAAAATTTCCATAAACTAAAATTTTTATTTACTGACTTCTGCTTTCTTACTGACATACATACATGGTCATTAC